AGAGTGAGAGAGACACAGAAAGAACTGGAGGTGTCCATTCAGGTCCCGACAATCCTATTCTATTGAAACTGGCAGCTTCTCATAATGGCTTTTCATTAAAATAAAAATAAAAATTGGGAGGCTATTGCAAACATCTACCATATAACATCCAGCTTGGTTTGCGTGCCAGAAACGAAGCGGGTTTTGTTGTTTTTGTTTTGGATTTTGGCTCAGAGAGAGGAACTGTGAGTTTGCATTGGGTTGGACTGAAAACAGAATGTAGCACAGCAGGGCTGCAGATAGGGCTCTTAGGAAGGACTGAGAGAGGATTATCAGTTTTGCTCTTTGCTTTGAGGAGCCTGGCTGCTTCCAATAAGCTCAAGCCGTCCGTCCTGCCTGTCATTTCTCTGCTGGAAATCTCCTGAACCCTGCATTACCTGCACCTGGCAGAGCCATGCTGGGTGAGTTAATGCAGTGTTGCCTTGAGGCACAAAACAAGAAACAAATGTGCACTCTTTAAAAAAATTAATCTTGAGCATGTCTGTCCTGATCCATTAGAAATCTCTGCCAGCAAGCAATGGCTCAGTGAGAGAGAGGCCTAAGACATGGTTAGGCAAACTAAGGTCCGAGGGCTGGATCCAGCCCAATCGCCCGTGGACAGTCCGGGAATCAGTGTGTTTTTACATAAGTAGAATGTGTCCTTTTATTTAAAATGCATCTCTGGGTTATTTGTGGGGCCTGCCTGGTGTTTTTACATGAGTAGGATGTGTGCTTTTATTTAAAATGCATTTCTGGGTTATTTGTGGGGCATAGGAATTCATTCATTTTTTTTCTCAAAATATAGTCCGGCCCCCCACAAGGTCTGAGGGACAGTGGACCGGCCCCCTGCTGAAAAAGTTTGCTGACCCCTGGTCTAAGACTTTCTGGACTAGTTAAATGCTGGGGTGAGTTCAGGACCCTGGAGAGGGACAATGGTGCCCTGTCAGCATATAGGATGTTCAGGACCATGGTCAGCGAACATGCAACTGAGAGCAGGTGGAAGAAGATGCTTCAGCACTGGTTTGTTGCAGTTCCCAGAGCCCTATAGTCTAGCCTGGAGGCTCAAGGCTGAAGCCTCACCTTCTGACTGCTGTAACAAGCCAGTAAAAGAATAAGTGTTGGATGCAGACATTGGGAAGTCATGTACTCTTAATGTGCACTGTAGATGTGACCTTGTTGTTGTTGTTTAGTCATTTAGTCGTGTCCGACTCTTCGTGACCCCATGGACCAGAGCACGCCAGGCACTCCTGTCTTCCACTGCCTCCCGCAGTTTGGTCAAACTCATTCTGGTAGCTTTGAGAAGACTGTCCAACCATCTCGTCCTCTGTCGTCCCCTTCTCCTTGTGCCCTCCATCTTTCCCAACATCAGGGTCTTTTCCAGGGAGTCTTCTCTTCTCATGAGGTGGCCAAAGTATTGGAGCCTCAGCTTCAGGATCTGTCCTTCCAGTGACAACTCAGGGCTGATTTCCTTCAGATGTGACCTTATTTTCCTCAAAATTCTGGAAACCATGGTTTACCCCTCCCTGTGCTGCTGGTCCCAGCACCCTGAACAAACTACAGTTCGCATGATTCTTGGGGGAGGTCATGTGCTTTAAATATGACTTAACTGTGCTTTAAGCGCAGGGTGTGGATGCGGCAGGCTAGATCTCTGAGTGCTTTGCGGGTTAACAGGCTCTTCTTTTGCCTTGCCCTCATTTTTCTTTCAGATTTCCCCCTCCCCAAACGCTTTTGCCAAGCACTCTCCTCTTGTTAGATTATTTCCCTCAAGAGCCTCCTTGCTCCACCCCCCCACCAGCCCTTTCCCTTTTATCTTTTCAAAAGATGCAAGGAATGAATTGTTCAAAGCCTCTAAATGCCAAACCAAAGGCAAGTTCTGCATTGCGAAAGATCACTTTCTCCCCCTCCGCGTGGAGGACCTTAAGAGGCCTGAGGGGAGAAAAGGCAACGGCCAAAGAATGGTTATTATGCCTAATAAATAATGGCCTATATTCTGCAGTCCTTGCCCACGGATTTTAGTAGAGACGAGAAACTCAGCTAACATATTAACCAGCCTTGTGCCTTGAATGCAACCTTTCAGCTGCTAAACAAGACTTCAGTACAAAATATCCAGGTTTCAGCCTCGATTCAAGAAAATGGAAGAGTGGAAATTATAATAAAAAGACTTCCTCAAAGCATTTGCAGAGTGCCTTATTCCTAACCCTTGAGCAGATAGCCCCCATAAATGTGGGATTGTCCCTGGCCAATCGCTGAGGTTTTCAGGCCAATTTGTGGTAGTGGTCCCCTATGGCTCAGATGCATTCAGTGCCATGGAATTGTAGAGTTGGAAGGGACCTCTGAGGGTCATCTAGTCTAACCCCTTGCAGTGCAGGAATCACAGCTAAAGAAACCCTGACAGATGCCCACCCAACCCCTGCTTAACAACCTCCAGTGAAGGAGAGTCCACCTTCTGAGATAGTCCATCCCACTCTTGAACAGCTCTTCCTGCAAAAAAGTTCTTCCTAATGTTAAGTTAGCTTTTCCTTTCTTGTAATTTGAATCCATGGGTTTGGGTCCTTTCCTCTACAGCAGCAGAAAACAAGTTTGCTCCATCTTCCCTGTGACAGCCCTTTAGATATGAGGAGTTGGCTATCATATCACCTCTCAGTAGCTTGGCTCATTCTTTTTTTTAAAAATTCCAAATTTTTTTTATTGGTTTCCACAATATTATAAACAAACAAACACACAAGACAAACAAACATAAATCATAGCCTTATTGAAAATTACACTTATTAACTTTGTTAAGTGACTTCCTCGCTTCCCCTTGGTTGAATTTCATTGCATGTCCTTTTAAGGGTTTTCCATATCCCAATTCTTATGAAATTTAACTTAAACATTAACATCCTTAAATCTCCAACTTATGGAATTAAACATATTAATTCATCACTTAACATAAATAAACTCCTAAGCCAATTAAGTATCTGCAAGCTGTTTTCAGTTAATTTAACTTAACATATTTAAATAAATAATCATTAAATTTAATCCACTCTTCCTGATACTCCTCCTCCTTCTGGTCGCAGACTCTTCTGGTTAGGTCGGCTAGCTCTGAAAAATCCATCATCTTCATCTGCCATTCTTCTATCGTTGGCTCATTCTTTTGAGATTCTGATGAGAACTCTTGAAGTGGCCGGCTAAGGTCGTTCTCTTAGAAGGCCTCTCCTCCTCCCAGAGGGGAGGGGTTGTGAGTGGGAGCAGCTTCCCTCTGGGGCAGGGAGGCGTGCTCGGCTCCCTGCCCCTGATTGCTTCTGCTGCCGCGGCCAAGCCTTTCAGCCGACCAATAGGGCCGGCTGGTGGGCGGGGCTAACCGCATTTAAACAGCCTGCTCCCAGTCTGTTTATTGGAATACGTGTGCTGTGTTGGAGGATTGGGTATGCGCCATCATCTACCCCTCCTCTTTTGGGTATTCCGTTGAAGGAATCCGGCAGTTATGGATCCTGTCCGATGCCCTCCTGGTGGCTAGGGCCATGGCACGACCCCCGGTGACGTCATGGGGAATCTTCCAGTTGTATTTCTATCAACACACTCCTCCCATTGGTTGTTAACCCTGATATGACTCCCGGCTGTGCGGGGTGGAGTCTGGTATTGCTGTTTCATCCAATGCCTAATCCAATACTACTCAAATGCTGTAACCAATAAAGGTTGTGGCCTAATTTTGCCCATTAACCTAAAATAACACCAGTGTGGCGTAGTGGTTAAGAGCGGTAGACTCGTAATCTGGTGAACCGGGTTCGCTTCCCCGCTCCTCCACATGCAGCTGCTGGGTGACCTTGGGCTAGTCACACTTCTTTGAAGTCTCTCAGCCCCACTCACCTCACAGAGTGTTTGTTGTGGGGGAGGAAGGGAAAGGAGAATGTTAGCCACATCGAGACTCCTTCAGGTAGTGATAAAGCGGGATATAAAATCCAAACTTTTCTTCTTCTTCTTCTTATACTTATACTCCTATGCAGGTGACAGGTCCTCGACTCACAATAACCAGTCCAGAAACTTCCTCCAGAAGATTTGAACCCTCACTGGGAGCAGGAATTGGAAGCGACTCATGGCATTGTCCAGATTGACCCCCACCCCCACAATATGTTCCTATCGCAAATAAACAGCCCTCCATAAAACTGGTCACAGATTACATGGGAACATGTTATTAGTCCATGGGATCCCACATCCAGGTCTTAAGTTCTTCTTCTTCCTTAAGAATAGAATAAAAGAAAGGAAGAAAGGAAGGAAGAAAGAGAGGAAGGAAGGAAGGAAGGAAGGAAGGAAGGAAGGAAGGAAGGAAGGAAGGAAGGAAAAACTTGGTGCTTACCCCAGTATGCCACCCCAGGGAGACCCCACCCACCTCCAGCTCTCTGACTTTGATTGACAATGCCTTCTCTCAGCCTGAGTCTCTCTATCTGTCCTCCCCCCCCCCGACTCCCCGCTTCCTGCCCGTCAAAATAACAGACATTACGCTAGCAATTAGCAATCAGGGCAGCTGGCTCTTGGATCAAAGAAATTGGCTTCTGGACAAACTCGAGTGCTTTTGTCTTTTCAAAGTAAAAGACTATTTTTTAAAGAAAGAATAAAATAAAATAAAAAATGCTGCAAAGCAGTCTTTGAGAGTAAAACGACGACGGGTGCTATTACTGACTTCAGAGAGAATCGCTCGCAGGAAGGATCAGTCGCTGAAGAATTGTACTTAAAGGAGAAACACGAAAGAAGCAGCGGTTTGAACTTGAAAGCTGCTTTCTTGCAGAAGGGTTGGCATGCATTGCTTTATTCCAAAGTCATCTGCTTTTCTTAAAATCTGTATTAATTTATTATTATTATTATTATTATTATTATTATTATTATTATTATTTATTGCCACCCCTGCAAATCCAAATCTTGGCATTCATGGGCACTTCTGATATTAGAGTTGGAATCTGTCCATGCTATTAAGATAAAGAAAAGTCTGAATAGTGATGCTACAGCTTTGCCACTTAGCTACAGTGGCTCAGTTGGTAAGGCATGAGACTCTAATTCTCGGGGCTGTGGGTTCGAGCCCCCAAGCTGGGCAAAAGATTCCTGCATTGCAGGGGGATGTTTTTGGATATTAATCTTTTCATCTTTATTTTATATCTTATGGTTTCTATGGAAATTATTTAATTTGGCTGTGTACCTTTTGATGTTTTCTTTATTGCTCATGACTACTTTTGTTATGTTGTAGTTATGTATTTTTTTCCTCCAGGTTATAGGCCACCTTGAGCACGATTTGAGCTATGGAAAGGCAGCATACGAATAAAATTATGTATGTATGTATGTATGCGGAAGGACTTCAGCTCAGTTGCAGTGCATCAGCTTCACATGTAAAAGTTCTAAGGTTCAACCCCTGCAACTTCAGGAAGGGACGAGAGTGTTCTCTGCCAAAAAAGATTGGAGGAGCTGCTGCCAGTGTTTACAGTTTTGAGCTAGGTGGACCAACAGTGTAAGAAAGTGTAAGGGAATGGTCTGAATCAGAGGAGTGGGAAGATCAGCTCCTCTCTGAAGAGGAGCAGGAGGGAGAAGATTCGTGTGCTCCCCCAGATCCAGCGGTTTCAGGAGCAGAGAGAGACACAGACACTGAACAACTCAGGCGGAAGTGACCTGTTGTTGTTTAGTTGTTTAGTCATGCCTGACTCTTCGTGACCCCATGGACCAGAGCACGCCAGGCACTCCTGTCTTCCACTGCCTCCCGCAGTTTGGTCAGACTCATGTTTGTAGCTTCGAGAACACTGTCCCACCATCTCGTCCTCTGTTGTCCCCTTCTCCTTGTGTCCTCCATCTTTCCCAACATCAGAGTCTTTTCCAGGGAGTCTTCTCTTCTCATGAGGTGGCCAAAGTATTGGAGCCTCAGCTTCACGATCTGTCCTTCCAGTGAGCACTCAGGGCTGATTTCCTTCAGAATGGATAGGTTTGATTTTGCAGTCCATGGGACTCTCAAGAGTCTCCTCCAGCACCATAATTCAAAAGCATCCATTCTTCGGCGATCAGCCTTCTTTATGGTCCAGCTCTCACTTCCATACATCACTACTGGGAAAACCATAGCTTTAACTATACGGACCTTTGTTGGCAAGGTGCTGTCTCTGTTTAGTTATGGGGAAATGGAAAGAGAAACCGGAGGAAGGGAACAGCCAGCAGAGACGTCATTAGAGAGTTTAGGGGACCCTCCCTCCCTAAGAAGTAAGAAGTCCATCCATATTAGAGAACAAAGAATGTAGAAAGGAGGAGAAGGAACTTCCCTTTGGTGTTCAGGATCTTGCAGGAGATGGAAGGGGAAGGAGAAGTTAGAGTAGCCAACTGCTCTCCTTGTGGGAGAGTTGTGGATTTTTGCTTGCAACCACATGACTGAATAAAAAGGACTATAAAATATAAAGTGCTCATTAATTCTTGTCTGTGAAGTTACCGAAGGGAGGGGAGGACTATCCACGCCCTGCCCAAAGCTTCCTGTGTTATTTTATTTTATTTTATTTTTTATTAAATTTGCATGCCATCCTTCATCCGAAGACCTCAGGGCGGTTCACAGCATAAAGATACAAGATAAAAAACACGAAGTATATAATAAAAACAAGAGCAAAACAAACGAATAACACCTCCCCCCCCCATTAAAAAGGATATAGGACGTCATTCGGCCAAAGGCCTGGTGAAAGAGGAATGTTAGAATTCCTGCTCCATGACTGCAGTCATGGGATTGTTGTCTTTCACATGACGGTGTATGTTTTGACTCCACAGAGTGGGAAGTGACGGAGACAGGATGTTTGCGTTACTGTGTTCCGTGAAGTGGGACTATTGTCCTTTGTTTCTTTTCTCTTTACTATCTGATGCTAGAGAGAGAGGGAGCCATGTTGCAGTGCTCCGTGTGTGTTTATATGTAAATAAAGTAGAATGTAAAGTAAAATGCTGAGTTGCTGAGGTCTGTCACGCAAGTTGAGCAAACTCTGTGGATCCCTAAGAGTGCCGATGTCTGTTAGCATCAGTCAATGTGATGTTCAGGCTGAAGAAAGCTTATGAAGCTCCTGAACGATGATAAACCAGGAGGGTGGGAACATGCCAATTGGGCATGTGTCTCTGCCAAGGTGCTACTCGAGTGTAGGCTGAACTCCTGACAGTTTTCACCTGGCACCTAAAATTATAAAATGAAGGCACCAGGCGAGCTTCCCTGGGGAGAGCATTCCACCAACGGGGAGCCAGTGCAGAAAAGGCCGGTTCTTGTGTTGCCACCCTCTGGACCTCTCATGGAGAAGGCATATGAAAAAGGTCCTCTGATGGGTCAGTTCCTAAGTTCCTATTCTGCAACTCCTGCAACTGATGATGAGATGCGATTCTACAATGGTGAGAACCCACAGCTCTCAGAGATCCAGAATGAACAACACAAGGTCAACATTCCTGCCTTCTGGCCTCCGGTTTGAGTCTGTCTTCCGCTCGACATTTTAAAAGCTAAAACTTCTCAGGTTTGGAAAACATAAACAAAGCTCTTAGTTCTTTGGCCTCGGTAGGAGGAGGCCACATCCAGTCTTTTTCTAGTATATTTTTCAAAGGTTACTGGATATCTTTAGAAACAGCAGAGAGTTCCAAACCTCACCCAGGCTGATTCACGAGCCGTTGTGAGCATTCTTTAAAGGTTTTCATGGCGAAAAGCCTGTCAATGGTCTCCCTAAAATGCCAAATCTTTGCCCCTGCAAAGCATAGCATTTGCCAACTTTCCTCAGCAACCAAGCCCCAAATGGCTGAGAGATGTTGCTGTTAGCAAGAAATGACCCGGGAAAGGTGAATCTTCATGGCAATGTGCTTGAGACTCCTCAGTTCTTGTTGGGAAGGGAGGAGCGAAGAAAACCAGCTAGGCAAGGAAAGGTTGGGGTCAGGAGTTCACACAATCTGTGCAACGTCTTTGAGTGACTCAGCCAGAAGATGCGGAAAGCAAAAATAAATTAAAAATAAATAAAGGAGTGTCAGAAAGTCTAAGGACCATTTGTCTTGTAAATTGTAAGGGGGTTATAGCAACAAAAGACATCATCTTATCAACTTGTGATGTTGTTGTTTAGTCGTTTAGTCATGTCCGACTCTTCTTGACCCCCTGGACCAGAGCACGCCAGGCACTCCTGTCTTCCACTGCCTCCCACAGTTTGGTCAAACTCATGTTGGTAGCTTCGAGAACACTGTCCAACCATCTCGTCCTTTGTCGTCCCCTTCTCTGAGCTCTGAAAAGGCTCAATATGGAGGCCAAATGGCCGACATATTGGGAAATTTTGGAACAAGAAGGAGATAAGTTGAGATTGCAGAGTTTCGAAAAACTAAAAAACAAAGTGAGAGATTGGCTTCATTACTATCAGATAATGGAGGCATATAATTTGGATAAGAAAATTGGCTTCCAGGTGGAAAAGTCAAAATTAGAAACAGAACTGCTAGAACCCAAAACAAAGAATCTGTCAAGAATGTATAACTTGCTGTTGAAATGGAATACTCAGGATGAAACGGTGAAATCTGCTATGATTAAATGGGCACAAGATGTTGGACATAATATTATGTTTGCTGACTGGGAACAGTTATGGACCACAGGTATGAAGTTCACGGCATGTAATGCCTTAAGAGAGAATATTATGAAAATGATATATAGGTGGTACATGACCCCAGTCAAGCTTGCAAAAATCTATCATTTGCCCGATAATAAATGCTGGAAATGTAAAGAAACTGAAGGTACATTCTTTCACCTTTGGTGGACGTGCCCAAAGATTAAGGCTTTCTGGGAAATGATATATAATGAACTGAAAAAGGTATTTAAATATACCTTTTTGAAGAAACCAGAGGCCTTTCTCCTGGGCATTGTCGGCCAATTGGTACCAAAGAAGGACAGAACTTTTTTTATATATGCTACAACAGCAGCAAGAATACTTATTGCAAAGTATTGGAAGACACAAGATCTACCCACTCTGGAAGAATGGCAGATGAAGGTGATTGACTACATGGAATTGGCAGAAATGACTGGCAGAATCCGAGACCAGGGAGAAGAGTCGGTGAAAGAAGACTGGAAGAAATTTAAAGACTATTTACAGAAATATTGTAAAATTAATGAATCTTAGAAGGATGTTGGATAGAAACTAAGTGGTCTCCAGCTGTAATGCTTTAAGAGATATGAAAAAAGGTTTACAAATGGGTGAAAGCTCAATGGTAAGGATTTGCTGAACTAACAAACTGAACTGGAATACAAAAAAGGGAGGTATGAGGAGGTCCAGGGAAATAAGGGTAAGGAAGATATGCTATGGAAAGTTAGCGTGTTTTTAACTGTTTTTTATCTTGTATGTTTTTTTTGTATTTTTCTTTTTTTTTGTTATAGCTTAAAAATTCTATTCTTTTTTCTGTATTTTGCATTTTCTTGTATTTTTATTTTTTGTATTTGTATTCTTTGAAACTTTAATAAATATCATTAAAAAAAAAAAGAGAGAACACTGTCCAACCATCTCGTCCTCTGTCGTTCCCTTCTCCTTGTGCCCTCCATCTTTCCCAACATCAGAGTCTTTTCCAGGGAGTCTTCTCTTCTCATGAGGTGGCCAGAGTATTAGAGCCTCAGCTTCAGGATCTGTCCTTCCAGTGAGCACTCAGGGATGATTTCCTTCAGAATGGATAAGTTTGATCTTCTTGCAGTCCCCTTCATGGATCACTGCCTTGCCGTGGCGAAGGGGCTTGAATAACTCAGAGAAGCTATGAACTATGCCGAGCAGGGCACCCAAGACAGACAGGTCATAGTGGAGAGCTCTGACCAAACGTGATCCACCTGGAGCAGGAACCAGCAAGCCACTCCAGTATCCCTGCCAAGAAAACTCCATGGACAACTTGTGATAGAAATGGATCAAAACGTAGGTTCCTTTACTTAGGGTTATCTTTACAATGGGGAAGGAAAACCCTGCCTCCCCACTGCTGAGGGCCACATTCGCTCAGGGAATTTTTCTTGGGGGCCATGTACTGGCTATGGGTGGAGCTGGGGCCTAAGGTGGATGGAGCCAAATCCCTTTTCTTTCCTTCTGCCAGCCCCTTCCAATTTTTCTCT